ACACATATTTACACCTGAGGTTTGATGGATGGAGGGAGTGCAGAGCATTACACCCCAAGTGTGTTTCTTGTTGCTCCCCTCATAGTTTCAGCAAGAAGCCAGCCATGAAACCTACTCTCTTCATGCAGCCTCTCCAAGCCAGCACACAGGAATTTCTCCCCGCCTTCCGCCAAAACTCTGTTTTAAAAGGACACATTATTTCCTGCGGTCGCAGGGCTTTATTTCCCTATCACACTGGCAGCCTCCCCCCCTCACATAACCAAACACTGAAATCCTAAACCTGGCTTTTGTCTCAGTACTGGCACCTTTCTTTCCCAAATGTTGAAATGTGGCACTTACTTCCTTAACAACTTCATGGTGAGTACCGGCACTGTTTTTCCTTAGAAAAAGAGCATGGGTTGTAAGCAATAAATGAAACATAAAAAAATGCAGAAGCAAATCGAGCAATTTCCCCATAAAGCGTGTTCTCCCTAACAGAGAGCACGTGTTGCGGTTGGGGGAACAGGCCACTGTGTCATGACTAGGCAAATTTGATGGAGCCCAAACCTGTAAAGGGTTAATTGGGTTGCTGGGGATTTTTGAGTGTTGCCAATTTGGAGGAGGGGTCAGAGACTATAGATTCAGGAGCCAGACGATGGGACGATCTCTTGGCCGTTTTGCATCGGATCACCCGCCCCCCTCCCTTTTATAGGGTGGTTCCGTGGTTACTTGACCTTGCTATGCCTGTCATGGGGTCATCCGCCTTTGAGCGGGGGCCTGGTAGGAATTTTGCCATCTGGCTGATTGGCTGGTGCCATTTGGTTTTTGCCTACTGCGTAGCAAATCGTCACAACTTGTAAGGTTGGCGGTTAGGCATTGGTTAAATTGGTTCTTGGAGGGGTAAGTGCCTATCCCTCCAAATGATGCGGAAAGGGAATTCCGTTAAAGGAATCCAGGGGCTTGCCATTCTTTCGTCCTTGTCCGTGGAGCCGGACTTGGGCCGTGCAAGCCCCACCGGAACATGAGGGTGAGAAGTGTTGGACTGATTCCCAGCCTCACTTCTCCCCAATACTTGTTTCCCACGCTGGCTTCCGGTGGTGTCCGGAAGTGCCAGCTCTGTCCTTGGGGGCAAGGACAGATAGTCAAACCAATGCCTAAGCAACCACTCACATTTTTTGTATTTAAATAAAGTTGTGGCCAAAAATTATGCCAAAAAACCTTAAACAAAAATTGAAGTGTGATGTGTGAATTTTTGGGGGGTGGCATTGTGGGACTCAACACGCAAATATCAAGATCTAAAATAAAGATACAAAAAACCAACAGCCTCTTTCAACCAGGATAGTCCCACATCAAGAATTGCCAGTGTCCCTGTGAATAAGGAACTGGGATATATGTACCCATAAATAAGCTTGGGACATGTTCACTACCAGGGGGCTGTCTCTGCTTGCTAAAACCACACTTGGTTTTTGCATGCTCCAAATTGTACAGCCCAGCCACAAGGAGACTTTCCCCTACAATATGACCTGGTATCATGTCTGGTCCAAAGCTTCATTTTTGTTTTTTGGCATGATGCCCTCATGACTAAGGAACAGGGTCTGCACTCCAAAATAAGCTTTGGATCATCACAGATCATGCATCTCCTCCACCAAGGAGATTATCTACTAAGGAGCAGTGGTATGGCAGTACATTCTGAAGAGCAAATGGTCTTCATTCTGAAAAGCAAATGGTCAAAGGCCTGGAAACAATGCCTTATGAGGAACGGCTAAGGGAGCTGGGCATGTTTAGCCTGGAGAAGAGGAGGTTAAGGGGTGATATGATAGCCATGTTCAAATATATAAAAGGATGTCATATAGAGGAGGGAGAAAGGTTGTTTTCTGCTGCTCCAGAGAAGCGGACACGGAGCAATGGATCCAAACTACAAGAAAGAAGATTCCACCTAAACATTAGGAAGAACTTCCTGACAGTAAGAGCTGTTTGACAGTGGAATTTGCTGCCAAGGAGTGTGGTGGAGTCTCCTTCTTTGGAGGTCTTTAAGCAGAGGCTTGACAACCATATGTCAGGAGTGCTCTGATGGTGTTTCCTGCTTGGCGGGGGGTTGGACTCAATGGCCCTTGTGGTCTCTTCCAACTCTATGATTCTATGATTCTATGAGCAGGAAGTCTTCATGACAGCCACCATAGCCACACCCCTTCTAAGATCACATAACAAAAGTGAATTTTTGACCAATTATGGCTTCAGTACCAACCCAACTTCTATAAGTGACTTGTAAAAAAGCAAATGTTGGACTCAACATGTTATTTGGAAGGGACAGTCTCACAGAAGAGGATGTGTAGCTTGTGGAGTAGCTAAATGTTAGCAGACCTTGGAGCCTGAGTGAATCTGATTGGAATAATCACTTAGTTTCTGGAATTCAAAGGCTTTATTTATGCAGTAACTATTTAGAGGAAATGTGGAGGTGTATGTCTCAACAAGTTGGGAGAGAACAGCTTTTAGGAGTGGAGTTTTAGAGGCAACGGCAAACAAATGCTGGCTAGATTGCTACACACAGACGCTCTAGTGATTTAAAGAAACATATGCATTAACTACAAACTCGAGATAAGGGAATGTATTTGCTTTCCTCCTTTTTCTAAGTGGAAGGGGCCTGCTAGAAAAGTTGATGTCCAAAAACAGTGCTTTGCAGTAGAGCCACTCAAGGGGAATCCAAAAGTATTTTGGGTGACCCAAAACTTTTTTGCGGGGTACAGAAATATATAAACTTTATTCAGAGTTCTGATACAGTGTCAAATACGGAATTGGATCCAGGAACCCTCTTCAGTCTCCAGTTGTAGCAGTGAGGCTTGCAAAGCAGGGCAGTGTACAAATTTAATTAATAAAAACAATAGAAGTAGCAAATCATCTTTTTCCTGTCACAGAAATCAATGTGGTCTTTTTAGTTGTGGGGGTAGTGAGAGTGGTTTGTTTCTTTAAGACGTATGTGGTCTGGGTGTGGCTCTTTCTATAGCTGTGCGCAAACTATCCAGAACCTTAGCGCTGCCTGAGTGATAAGTCCTGGCTGCTATGCCAAGTTGTTGAGCTTTAATTCATAAATCAATATTGCTATTTGAGTTCTCCTCCTTCCTGGTATGACGGCAGACCCATTGCAGGGTTTCCTCGCACGGTGAGTACCCTTCCCACCGGATACTGGGTGGTACCGTTTGTCTTGGGAAATGATGGGGGACTGAGCCTTGGGGGGATATTACAGTGGCAGATAAAGCTGCTGCTAAAAGAATAGATTCAGGGGTCAATGGAACAGTTGGCAACCCTATGCCCAACTGCAGAGAGTCATACTAAAAACTCTTTTAATAATCCTTCCCCGCCCCCAAGAAACAAGCGGGTTGAAAATGGCTTTGAAGCAGAAAATGGAGCCAGTCTGGGGTTAGGAAAAATGATAAAAAAACACTTTACTATTCTGCAAGGAAAACTAAGACCATTATTACCGGTACTCCTGATAAGAATTTTGGCAGCACACCCTGTACAGTTTTTACTAGCAACTACATGCTTGCTCACTATTGTTAGTTGCCTCTGCGGATTGACCCTAAACCAGATTTCTTCAGAAATGCTTGGAACGTAGTTTAATTTTTATGTTTTCAAATTGTTCTTTTCCCACACCGGGTAGCTTTCAGAAGAAGCTGGCAGGATAGGGTGGAGTTGCAGAATTTTGCTACGGTTTTGCTGAATGGGGTTTACCAGAAAAGTGTTGGGTCTGGGCAGGGAGGTCAGGGCTGCACAGACACATTGGCAGAGGCTCCTGCTGGTGTGTCCACTCAGCCCTGACCTCCCTGCCCTGCCCCAGTGCTGCCCAGGTTAAAAAAAAAAAGGTAAGGGACCCCTGACGGTTAAGTCCAGTCGCAAACGACTCTGGGGTTGCGGTGCTCATCTCGCTTTAATGACCGAGGGAGCCGACATTTGTCCACAGACAGTTTTTCCGGGTCATGTGGTCAGCATGACTAAGCCACTTCTGGCGAAACCACAGCTGTGCACGGAAACACCGTTTACCTTCCCGCCAGAGCGGTACTTGTGCCAAGAGTTATTATTATAAACAAGTCCTCTAAGGGAAAACAAAAATATATGGAGTTGCTATTTCAAAAGAGAACTGTGATATTGGAGTATACTCTTTGCCTTAAAATACGAAGTGAGAGGGCTTAACTAAATTTATTTTTGCCACTGTGTTATTGTAAAATGGAGAAGAATCTGCCCACCTCCAAGTATTGCTGGGTTCAGCCCCAGTCAGCATGACTAGTGATGAGAGATTATGGGAATCAACAATCTATTGATTGCCTATAATCTTTGAGAATCCTTGGAGAACAGGGGAAGCCCCTGAAGACTGGAGGTGGGCAAACGTTGTCTCCAAAATCTCCAAAAAGGGGAAAAAGAAGACCCAGGTAACTACTAACCGGTGAGCTTGACATTGATTCCAGGAAAGGTCCTATAAGAGTGATAGTGAGCACTTAGAAAAGGATGCTGTGGTTATCAGGACGCAGCATGGGTTTCTCAAAAACAAGCCATGCCAGATGAATCTCTTTTCTTTTTTTATTGAGTTACAATCTTGGTGGATCAGGGGAATGCTGTGGATATAGTGTATTTTGCTTTCAGTAAAGTTTTTGTCAGAGTCCCCTATGATATTCTTGCGAGGAAGCTGGTAAAATGTGGGCTCTATAACTGTTAGGTGGATTTGTAGCTGGTTGACTGTCATGAATGGTTCTTCGTCTTCCTGGGGCAAAGTGTCAAGTGAGGTGCTTCAGGGTTCTGTCCTGGGCCTGTTGTTGTCCAACATCATTATCCAACTTGGATGAAGGAAATGAGGGTATGCTCATCAAATTTGCAGATGGCACCAAACTGGGAGGGGTAGCTAATTTTCCGGGGGGGGGGGATCAACTCAGTTGTAATCATGATCAGCAATTTATGTTGCCACTTTGTATTTATTTCACTCCTTATTTATTAATCAAGTTATTAATTCATTTGGTTTGTTTGTTTGCTTGCAGCTCATTTTGGTTTTCCTTCAAGTTCAAAACTCTGTAGTGAGTAGACGATGTGGAAAGTGCCTACCTGCATACTGAAATTAATCAAGTTGACTTCAAACTACAAACTCTGGGCTGTGTGCATCATCGTCTTTAAGTTCATGTCCTTCATCTGTATCATGTTCTACTGGAGAATCACCCAGGATGCCCAAGACAAGAGACAGCACTACAGTTTGCCTACAGAGGTTAAGTGTCCTCCTCTTCCCACTCCTTCATCCAGATGGCCTCCTTCATCACACAAAGACATATACTTTGTAGAAACATCGGAACGAACGAATCCAAACTTCCTGTTTATGTGTTCTGTTGAATCAGCAGCCAGGGTTCACCCTGAGTCCAGAATCATTGTTCTTATGAAGGGTTTAGCAAGCTACAATAAGACTTTGCCCAAACATGTGGCCTTCTCCTTGCTTAGCTGTTTCCCCAACATTGAATTCAAACATTTGGACTTGATTAACCTTTTCTCTAACACCCCCCTCGCTGGCTGGTACTCAGTGGCTCAGCAGAGGTGGGAGCCTTATTTCTTGCCCATCCTTTCTGATGCATGCCGAATCACCATCATGTGGAAGCTTGGTGGCATCTATTTAGACACAGACTTCATAGTCCTCAAGAACTTAAATAACCTCACCAATGTGCTTGGTACGCAGTCCAAATATGTACTTAATGGTGCCTTTCTCTCGTTTGAGCCCAAACACAAGTTTATAGAGCTTTGCATGCAGGACTTTGTGGTGGACTACAACCGCTGGATCTGGGGGCACCAGGGTCCTCAGCTCTTGACACGCATTTTTAAGAGGTGGTGCTCCATCCATAGCCTCCGAAGCAGCAAAAGCTGTAAGGGTGTTACTGCTGTCCCACAAGATGCCTTTTATCCCATTCGCTGGCAGGATTGGAAGAAGTACTTTGAAGCAATTAATGCTTCAGAACTTCCCATACTGTTTAGAAACACCTATGCAGTGCATGTCTGGAATAAGAAAAGTCAAGGGACACATCTTGCGATCACCTCTAAAACCTTGCTAGCTCAGCTGCAATCCCACTATTGTCCTTCCACATACAGGCTCATGAAGATCTCATTCTGAAGGGGCAGGGCCTAGCAGCAGCCTGCTGTTGATACAAACGCAAATCAGCCAAGCTGTTCAGCCCTGGCAGGTAATCACCATTGTCTATCACCATTTGACAATGGTAGCCCCACGGAGCAGTAGAGTTGCTGGCTCAACATTTCAAAGAGCAGCTGAATGGCTGTGGGTTCCAGCAGGCTTGGGAGTTCAGAAAAGAATACAGTGGTACCTCAGGTTAAGTACTTAATTGGTTCCGGAAGTGCGTTCTTAACCTGAAGCGGACTTTCCCATTGAAAGTAATGGAAAGTGGATTGATCCGTTCCAGATGATGAAAAACACCCCCGAAAACAGCAATTTAACACGAATTTTACTACCTACAGAGGCCATTGATCCATAAAATGAAATTAACAAAACAGTACAAAATGGAAATGTTATTTTTTTCCTTACCTGCGCTGATGATAGTCATTGTTTGGATGGGCGCTCAGGGTCCTCTTCCACAATTGGCTTGGCTTCTGGCATTCAGGGAGGCCTCTGAGAGCTCACAAAGCCTCCATAGGCCCCGCGGATGTCTTGGCTTGGCTCTGGGCAGCGGTGAGGCCTCCAAGAGCTTGGAAAACTCACTTCCGGGTTAATATCATTCGTAACCCGGAAAAAACGTAAGTCAAAGCGTTTGTAACCTGAGGTACCACTGTACTTTTATGATGGCCAAGTAAGATATATGCAAACTTTTGAGTTGGGACTCTTCCTTATTCTGACCATAAAAGAAACATGCATATTTTCTAAAAAGAAGGGCTAGGTGCCAGCAGAATATGACACTGAAACCACGACTGCAGGCTTTTGCAATTTAAAGATGGGAATAGATTCAGGCTGGAATTACATGTGCATTGCATACATTTTCATGATCGCTTCTGAACCTTTCGTATCTCAGTTAATGTGCCTTACCTCACTGAAATTTGCATTTACTTGGCTTGGTATGTGAAGCTGCTCAACTCATAATGCTCAGCTACATTATGAAGTTAGCAGAACTTTCTTTGCATTTTTTTCACCGATGCTCAACATGTAAACAAAGCACCCCCCTTTACTCCTTGGTGCCTTGAATGCTTCTGTCTTAAGCATGCTCAGCAGAGGCACAGCACATGCCAGATGTTTGTACTAAGAAGAACTCCAGTTCCCTGCAAAACTACCTTTCTCAGGATTCCTGGAGAGGAGATGCTGCTGCCTGGAGCAAAGTTTAAGATTTCAGGGAAGGAAGGAGAGACTAAGAAGGGCATCTCAGAGAGAGTTCTAATGAGACATCTCCAACTCCACTGCTGCCACATAAGTGGGAAGCAAAGAGAACAGTGGAGTGGGGAGTGAATTTTGGAACTGAGTTTTCCCCTCCTTAAAACTATTTTTCTGAAAAAGCTTGGTTTGCACAGGACAATTCTGAATAGAGCAAAAGGCATCCGCTCATAAGCACCTACCACCATAAACATGTCACACCTGTTCGTTCTTCAAATGCCGTCAGACTCCCTTCTATTAGTGCACGAGGCAGCATTTTCTCAGATGGTGGGACAGGCTTCTCTGTGGTATATGTATCACTCATGTGTTGAGCCTCTGGGTCAGAAGCGACTAACCTTTTTCAAGCTGGGTTTCCGGTCCTGCCTGCCTTAATGGAGGCAGCCCCCACAACAGCGGGGGATTGTTGGCGAACAAAAAACAAGGATGACAGAGGGCAAATTATCATTGCAGATTCCCCCCATGGATGGGGAGGGATGGGCTTCACTCGCATTTCATCTCGGTACCTGACTCTTGCTTCAGCATGGAATGCAGGAGACACAGAGGCGCTGAGTGCAAAAGCACTTTGTCTGCTGAAAACCCTCCTACGCTGCCATTAAGAAGCAGAGGTTGTCTGTTTGACTGGATCGTTAATTGGCTTTAAATTACCAGTGTGTGGTGGAAAAGGGTTGCAACAACATACTGCTGAATATACAGGCTACATGGATCAAAGGTTTGAATTGAGATAAGCTTTTCTTTGGCGTGAGAGTCGGTGGGGGAGAGGAAACCCCACAGTTTGTTTATTCTAAGCTTCATTTATGTATTTATGATTCAGCAACCCTCGCTGGAATATAAGATAAAAAGATATTTACAAGTGAGGAAGGGACGTTGGAGTAATATTCATATTAACAAGCAAAAATGGAAACTGTGTGTGATATGAAATGAAGAAAGGATGGGGAGGGGAAGCTGTGTTGGAAAGATAGAGAAATTCCCCTCACTTCCATTTAAAAACAACAGACAAGAAAAAAGAGATTTATATTTGTATGTGCTACTGATAGAATGTAATCTAAGATAAAGTTTAATTAGACCTAAATCTCTTGCTGGAAAGAAAAGAATTTGGGGACCGTGATAAGAACGCTGCAGAGATTCTGGGAGTTGGAAAGGAGTATTAAATCTTCAGTACGTTCAAAAACTGCCCACCTTTTCCTAGGCTTAGGGGGAAATGGCGGAGATCTGTGACATGTTTTATTAGTGAGACAGAAAGTTTTCTAGCAACCTGCCGCCTGTTCTGAGACATCGAAGCAAGGGGCGGAGAGATAAGACTTCTGAGAAACAGTTCCACCTGAAGCCACGATGGAAGAAAACAACAGCTGGGAAGTGAAGGAGACAACACCATGTGGACAGAAGAAATTTCCATGGATGTAACAGTTTTTACACGTGGGGCAGAATAAAGATAATCACTTGAAGCTTTATAAATTTATATATTGTAACATCACGAATGGAAACAATTAATTATGTAGCTGTTGACTAAGGGATTATTATAACTCAAATGTAACTGATATTAATTAAGATTATGGAATGCAGTGATATAAGATCGAAAATGCACCCAAACCATCATGTGGGAGCCACTTTAACTAAAATGTATTAATGGGAAGTTGATTGGCACTTTGATAATTGTATAATTTGGGAATTAATTGTTGTTGTTATAATTTGGCTATTATTGGGGGTATATTGGAAAACTAATTTAAAAAGTTTTTTTTTAAAAAAAGATACATTTTTTTCAAGCTGAGGACCACACACGGGCTTATGATCAACTGTTCCCGGGCCACATGTCAAACTGGGTGTGGCTGAGAGGCAAAAGTGGGTGTCACCAAAGCTTAGAAGTGGCCATGGTGAAAACTGCACTTCTCAAGATGTTTGCTATTTGAAATATTTTTTTATCATTCATAACTAAATTCAGTTTAATAAAAAATTTTTTGGGAGGGTCATGGCAAAGATGGGAGTCTCACACATAAAATGGCATTGCTGAAGAGAACCTAGTATAGGAGAAGCCATTAAAATATTTTAAAAATAAAAAAATATATACATTTACTTACCTAATTAATTATTTTGGATGACAAGTTTTGGCTGTGGCTGCGGGGGGTAGAACCATATCTTTTGGAGGGTTGACATTACTTGTGGACCATGGTTAGCTTCTCCTGCTCTAGGCAATGTCAGAAACTTGGATGCAATCCCGGAATGACATGAGGGTGGCAGTCTCACAGCGAGTGCCATTTTCTGATGTTTGTATATGCATAGCTATCGAGCGTCCCTTATTTGGCGGGACAGTCCCTTATTCCAGTGCCATCTCCCGCTGCTGTCCCTTATTGATTATGTCCCTTAAATAAGCTACTGAAGGTAATGGGGCCCTTTCTATGTCCAGCTGTCCTTTGTCAACAACAAATTGTTGCTGTTTTTTGTGTTGAATATATGCTATATGGTAATTTATGGACCTCATAGGTATCTAAAGCCATTGGCATGCAACAAAATATGTATTTTATCAAAGTAATTGTGGATCCCTTATTTTGGCTGCTGATCCCTTATTTTCGAGGCTGCTGGTCCCTTATTTTCAAATCTGTAAGTTGACAGCTATGTGTATATGTAATTCCCCTTTCTGTATTACTTGTGTACACATTTCCACTGCCATTTCCTCCATGCCCCCCTCTGCAATTTCTGATGGAAAAGGCATGGTCAAGGGAAAGCCTTCTGAGTTTAAGCAATGCCTTGGTGAAGAAGAGAAGGAAGTATTCCTGTTGTTGCTTGCCGGTTGCATGCATTTTGAAGAAAGAAGCAACAGGCCAGTGCAAAGTTACAACATTTCCCCAAACGCATCTGTCGAAAAAGGCAAGACTTTGCCTCAAGCGTTTCAGTTTTACTGGAGACTTGAGAAAGGGAGAACAGAATAAAAACGAGTGCCATGGTTGTGGAAAAGGAGGAAGAACTGGGTTATAACAATCAAAGAGACATTTCCTTATATCAATAAGTTAAAATGTCAGGAAGCCCTTCCCAGATGCTTACAACTCTCTTTAAGGAGGAAAGAAAGAAAAGCAACAGGCAAATAAATGCTCTTCAGATGGAATGTACTTGTTCACAGCTGACACCAAAAAGTAGGTAGGTTCGATTACAAATGTAAATGCATTGCAGTCCCACTTGCAGTGTTGTAAACAAAAACTGTTCCTTTTCCCTTATGGGGTACCCAAGAGCCCATATAGGGTCCTTCTGTAGGTTCTCTATCAGTAGGAGAAAATAACAGAGACCAACCAGAGAATATTGAGAAGCAAAGCAGCTAGTAAGCCTGATCTTTATTAAAGCTGTTGCAACAGGGTGCTCCCTGCCCCACACAGGAGGGGGGGGAGGGACCCCGAACCATGGGTGCAAGCCCTTATATAGACATTCTAAATTGCCCGCCGTGGCGTCCAAGACCACTCCCAGAAACATCATACATACATCACAGAAGGGGTGTGGCCCAAGACCACCCCCTTAATACATCAGAAAAGGGGCAGAAATCTGGGTGTGTTGTTTCTTCCTGTCTGCCAGGCTATCTGATTGGATTACCTGGGCATCCTGGGCACTCTTTTGTTATGGTAACTACTCAATTCCTGAATCCAGATCACAGGTCACAGGCTCACCCTATTCATATCTTAAATGTGCCCTTAAGACAGGATTTGTGAAAGAGAGAATGGGGAGATTTCCCATTTCCTTTGACCTTGCAGAGAAATATTTGAGGTCATTTTGGGAGAGAGAAAATGGTTTCAGGACTTTTCTGTGGGTTTCAGACATGTGGTTTACATATTTGTATGTGTTTGCTAGGTACATTTATGAACATCTATTATACACACACACACACACACACACACACACACACACACAGTGGTGCCTCGCAAGACGAAATTAATCTGTTCCGTGAGTCTCTTCGTCTTGCGGTTTTTTCGTCTTGCGAAGCACGGCTATTAGCGGCTTAGCGGCTATTAACGGCTTAGCGGCTTAGCAGCTTTAAGAAAAAGG